TTTTTTTTAATCCTTTCAGGCCTATGTTGTCAAAGCAAATCTATCCCGCTGTTTCTAGTCTGGAATTTTTTTCAACATTGCTTCTTTATCCAAGCCTAATGCTCGAGCTTATACATATCTAAGAACCGGAAGCTCCGCTTGTTCAAAGTTAAGAATCCACATTTTCCCGGTTCCCTCCACTTTCACCCAACGATCGTCAATCCCAAAGTACATTCACGTGAGATCCGGATAAGTAAATATGCCTAACCTATCTGCAGTACTGAGAATAAACTTACGTACGCCCACATTTTACAGCATTTTTTCCTCAATAATCGTTCATCAATCCAACCCCTTTTCTCTTCCAATCAATATATTGATTTTGGGCAAATTACATTTTCTGACAATCACTGTTTGTATTTGACGAGTGTGCCTCATGCTGCCGATGGACCGCTGAAACCTAGGATGAGGGATTGTGAAAGGGGTGGGTGGGAGTTCACCAAGAGATGAGTGACGCGCTTTCGGGCTCTGCGATGGCTAAACAAATCCTAGTGCACGGCGCGCGCGCCTGGATTTCTCTCCGGCTCTACAGGGCTGCGATGACTGTCTCAAGGGGCGCTTTTGTCCGATTTTATGCTTGCTTAGCTTTTCGGCTTTTCCTGCTTGGTCACTAGCTTATCTGATTTCTTATAGCTTGTACTGAAGAGACAATTTTTTCACAGCGGAAGTAACAGTATTACATCATATGTATCCACAAAAAAGCGCTTATATTTTTTTGCAAATGTCATTGTTTTCTTTTCCTCAATTCCTGATTTCACAACAACGCCTTCGTATGACAATCAGTCATAAAGTTGACATCTCCGTCATATCTTTTACTGTAGACATTTGATGAGATGCGAGCCTCGCATTGTAGAGACAATGTGGTAGTTCTTACTTTTCTACTGTAAATCACTCAGTGCTTGGCATGAGCTTGTGTCATGCTCTGGTATTCTCTGGTATATTCTCAGATTTCAATATTTTTGAATTATTTCAAACTACACGTGAAGTCTTCCGTTCTACCTTCACTTCTCAATCAATCTTCATCATTTTCCTTCCGCATTTCCCATATCCCATTCGTACATCGTCTAAGCTTTTAATCCTTCACAAAGTCTCGGCACCTGGGTGAAGCATACCTTGTTTTCCTTGCCCTACTTCACTGACAATCTTGAGCACTGTATCGTTTTTTCTGAGTAAAAACTCTTGTCAGTTATAGTAGCTAATGTTTGCCCCCTTCGACATATATCCACTATCTCATCTCTGTTTTACTTGAATAAAAAAATGCCTTTTGACATCAAATTTTTCGATGAGACAAAAACTTGTTGCGAAACATTTTCCTTCTTACTTGACCGATGTAACAGCGCGGAAGAGAATGCAATGGCTACTTCTTATCGTTGAATTCAAGGATTTAAAAGTTCTCCAGTCTACTGGAATATTTTTTGTCAGGACAATGACTATTGTAACATTCTTAATCTCCCTGCACCATCTACATTTGTTGTCCACTTGAAACTTTAGCGATATGGACGGGAGGGATTCTAAGGGCAAAAACGTTAAATTTAATCAAGAAGTTCAGAAACAGAAACGCTCATAGTCTGATTTTGACATAACGATGATTCTGAAAGACGTTTTGAAGATTTTTTGGTTAAAGTTTCGTTTTTTTAAGCGTTTCGCAACCAGTCATTGAGAATCAATTCATAGTCATAAGTGATACCTCGAATACAAACAAACCTTAGACATCCTTTAATCTTCATCTGCACGGTTTGCCAACATTTTTATCACGGCAAAGTATGTCCCACTCTTAGCTAGCTTGTCTTACTTTACTCTTATAAGCCTTGGAATCCAACATATCTGCTGTTGTGATAATTAGAATTGATGTTGTTATGCACTTAGGATTATTGTGCATTCCATATACATTTAGGTGCGAAATTTGAATCGGTATGGATAGCTTTGAAAGCGATCCAGCATGGCCATTTTTACGGCAATCCCAGGAACAGGTTGCTCACACTTGACTATTCATGGGTAAAAGATTTTTGAGCTCTTTTCTAGCTGCTAGCGGCAACCACGAAAAAGTTCGACTCTAAGAAGAATATCTGGATTGCCGATGCTGAAGAGGGATTTGTTGCAGCCGAGATCAAATCGTCCAAGGGTGACAACCTTACCGTTGTAACTAGTAAAGGGAATGAGGTTTGTTAGGATAGATGCCTGTTCCGGTAAAGAAAATTCTTAAAAATTGTTGTTTTTTGCAGAAGTCCATCAAAAAGGATGAGGCACAACAAATGAATCCGCCGAAATTTGAGAAAACCGAGGATATGGCGAATTTAACTTTTCTCAACGATGCCTCAGTGTTACACAATCTTCGCCAAAGATACTTTTCTATGATGATTTATGTAAGTTCGAGCAATTTGTACGATTTTAAAATTTTACCTGCCTTACTTCGTGCTATACATCGAGCCCATACGATTGTCACACATTTTTAGACTTACTCTGGATTGTTCTGCGTCGTAATCAATCCGTACAAGAGGTTGCCAATCTATTCTGAATCTGTGTGCCAGATGTACATGGGAAGACGTCGTAACGAGATGCCACCGCATCTTTTTGCCGTTTCTGATGAAGCGTACAGAAATATGCAGAATGGTGAGTTTCAGCAAAAGATCTACTGCGTAGATGATCGTGCACACTGATTTTAGATCATGAGAATCAATCTATGTTGATTACTGGAGAGTCTGGTGCAGGAAAAACAGAGAATACGAAGAAGGTCATTTCATATTTCGCGATGGTTGGTGCATCGCAGAGGTGAGTTGTAAGCAGTTGGAACGGCAATAAATTTAGACAAAACTAGATATACAGGCTAGTACGACTTATTTTCCACCGTAATTAACGTGAAAATTCTTCCATTAAATAAAAATTAGATAAATAATTTGAAGCATAAGACGCTGTTTCCATTTTATCTCTCTTTTTTTTGGGTATGCTACAGTCATATCTCACCTCGATTACGATGTAATATACCTGAGTGCTTAAATTTGTGCCGGCTGAACTAAGATTTTAATGAAGGTTTTTATTTGATTAAGAATTTTTTTAGCACCAAAAAGAACAAGAAGGACAAACAAAATGTCTCGCTAGAAGATCAGATTGTACAGACAAATCCAGTTCTCGAAGCTTTTGGTAGGTCTTGCCACCATACTATCCCAGTTGCGGAATTTGCAGTACAAAGAGTCCATCTGCGTTAAACCTTCTTTTCAAAATCTTTATTCTGTATGCACGTAAAAGAAAATCAAATATGATAAAATTTTGAAGGCAATAATGCAATATTTCAGGTAACGCCAAGACAGTACGAAATAACAACTCGTCTCGATTTGGAAAATTTATTCGAGTGCACTTCAACAAAGCCGGAAAGCTGGCTGGAGGAGATATCGAGCATTGTTTGTTTACTGATTTTGCAAACCGATTCTTGTAGATTTCATCCATTACTTCTTCAGATCTGCTAGAAAAATCGAGAGTAATCAAACAAGCTCCTGGCGAGAGATGCTATCATATCTTCTATCAATTGTATTCAGGAGCTATCAAGGGGCTAAAGGGTGAGTCCGTATGCTCACGGAAATATCAATCAT